CACCACCATCACCATCTCCTCCACCACCCTATTACTATAAATCACTACCACCTCCATCGCCATCACCGCCATCACCCTATTATTACAAGTCTCCACCACCGCCATCTCCATCACCGCCACCACCCTATTACTACAAGTCCCTTCCTCCACCGTCGTCTTCTCCTCCACCTCCATACTATTACCACTCTCCACCTCCACCAGTAAAGTCTCCTCCTCCTCCCTATTACTACAGCTCACCTCCTCCACCCGTGAAATCACCACCTCCGCCAGTATACATTTATGCTTCTCCGCCACCTCCAATCCACTACTAAATATTTCTAGGAGCTCAGCCATTCTCCATAATCAATCAAGTGAGTAGCCGTTTAAATTGAATATTTCTTTTCCATATGAAATCAACTTTTGATTTTTCTTTTCTTTGAATTAAGTTCTAATCTTATATTTCATTGTTTGTTTTCAGATTTTAATTTGAAGGACAAAATAAATGCTGGCTTCTTGAGCAAAAGATTCAAACATCAATGGCACAAAGCAATTAATTTATGGAATAAGATATTCAATTTTTCAGTTGAAGGATTGATTCTTATTGCACATTGTTCTCTAGTGCATTCACGTGGACAAGGCTACAATAACTTTGATTCTTCATAGATAGAGTTTGTTTTTTCGTAATTTATTGTTGTATTGAGGATGTCCTCGTTTTATTCATTTCCTATTAGTTATTGCAAGTTGTTTTCTTGTAATACCTTGGTGTACTTTGTGCACAAATCAATAAGAAGATCAATTTCGTTATTTTCTCTGTTTTTTCTTTTTGCTTTTTCCACTCGGTAAACAAATAAATAAATCTTATCCTTATATATAAAAAATGAAAATACCAATAATTATTTTAAGATCTTTAAAATAGTTTTAAGGTAAAAGAAGTTCAAGACATATATAAGTAATACACGTACCTCTCGTGTACTTTTAATATTTAAGATTTTTTAAATAAAGCAAAATCCATTATATTATTCCTATGAGATTCTGTAGTATTGAATTGTCTCATTGTTGTTTGAAAGTATGTAAACTTTATGTTTACAAGTTGACGAATGATCATCTGATGATTATAGCATTATCTGTTCAAAGTTGGCATTTGATTAACATTAATATACTAAAATTATATTTTACAACTATATTGTGTAGATTTTCCAATAAACTACCTGAACACTAGACAAAGTACGTAGTTTAATATTCCTTGAAATTGAGCAGACTTGACCTAATTAGTTTACATACACTAATTAAGGGGGCGTTTGGTTTGGAGATGAGTTACGCAGGGATTATGTAGAGGAGTATTAGTTATGTAGGAACATGTGTGAAGCTAGCTTATTCAATGCGGGTTCTGTCGAATCGAATGATTTTTATGCGTGTATTATGTATAAGGAGGAGCAAAATCAAACCAAATGCTATATTGTTTGACCAAAATTATAGATCTCGGTTCAACCAATTAGATTTATATAAAGATGAGTTAATCTTGGTTAAAAATAATATCCTAAAGATAATCTATTGGTGTTGTGACAAATAACTAGTGCATTTGTCTGGATGGCAACGAATATAAGCAATAATAACAGTATTCAATAATCCAAAAAAATAGAATATGATATTAAATAGTAATAAAAAATAATAAATGACATTTAATTAAATAAAACGTGTGAGTCACCCGAAAAGAGATGAGATCAAATGATATTCTTTCTGACAATGATGAATGATTGATAAGCCTTTGAACACTTAAGTTGTTCTTTCATCCGATGGAAATGTTTGTCACGACCCAAAATCCCACCACAGGCATCGTGATGGCACCTAGTCTCTAAGACTAGGTAAGCCGATTTCAATTATATTTTGAAGCCATTTTAAAAAAAAAAAATTAAATAAGTAATCAAAACTAACAGCGGAACAAATATGAATATACAACCTCTCAAGACTTGTAGTACTGAGTCACGAACTCTAACTGAATACATGGAATGATCACGAGGTCCGAATATACAATACTGTTTGATTAAAAATTAACAGTACAATGAAATGAAAAGACTCCAAGGGACTGCGACGACCAAGCAGCTCTACCTTGAATCCTTACAATCCCGCTTTAACTCTGCTCAAGTCCAATATCTCCAATACCTGGCTCTGCACAAAAAATGTGCAGAAGTGTAGTATGAGTACACCACGATCGGTACCTAGTAAGTATCAAGACTAACTTCAGTGGAGTAGAGACGAGGTACAGTCAAGACACTCACTAGTCTAAAAGCCTGTGCAACATAATATACAAAATATAAGGAAACAAATAACAATAATGGCAACATAAAACAATCAGTGATATGTACAGCAGACAATAAGAACACCATTAATATCGCTCAACAATTAATAATTACAATTACACACAATTAAATCAAATCCTTCAAATAAATATCTTTCACATTTAATTCTTCCAAATAACTCTCTTTCAAATATAATTTCTTCAAATAAACATTTTTCAAATATACTTCCTTTAAATAAATTTCTCTCAAATATAATTTCTTTAAATAAATATCTTTCGAATGTAATTCTTTCCAATTAAATATTTTGAATATAATTCTTTAAATTAAAAAGTCACCATGTGACACTTCATTTCATAATCATTCAACCATGGGTCTTAGCCCATTTTCATATTTTTCATAAACACGGTTCTCAGCCCATTTTTCATATTTTTCGTAAATACGGTTCTCAGCCCATTTTTCATATTTCCACGGCACCTCGTGCCCATAATTAAATCATCATATTTTTCCGGCACCTCGTGCCCTCATTTCATATCACAACTGAATGGACAATTCACGTGCCAAATATCATTATCATTTAATCACAGCACCACGTGCCACATTTCATATCACAACTGCACGGACAATTCACGTGCCAATATCCTTATTATTTACTCACGGCACCTCGTGCCCACATTTTATTTTATAATCCGCATGGCAATAGCCACAGGCTCTCAATTTCAACATAAATCAGATTGTTATCAATTTACCAACAACAAGACAAACTGCACAAGGTATAAAAATAAACACAAGGAAATCATAACATCATATAAAATCACCAATGCAACCACTCCACATCATCACATATCATCCCTGACAATAGCTACCCTTATCTCTCCGATAGCCACCCTAATCACTCTTATAATAGCCACCTTTATCCCTCCGCCCTGACAATATCAATAGCCACCCTTATCGCTCATATTGCCACCCTTATCTCTCCGATAACCACCCTTATCACTCTGCCCAAACAATATTTCAATAAATACAACAATAGTGAAATGCCACCCTTATACCCACATAATATCAACAGTGGAATGCCACCCTTATATCCTCAAAGTAACAACTCACACAACACAATAATTTATACGGGAAATTATCACGACAACATAACAAAATTAATTTATATCACAATTGCCCAATGGCCACAACCAAATTTCAAAGATACAACCAAATCAATTAATTTCACAACAAATAGCCGAAGGCTCCACGCAATGTATATAATACCACAAAAATAATCAACATAGATAGAAATTATTTAGCATAAAACAAAGCCTTCATTAAATCCAAATTTAGATAATTATATTAGCACATCTTCTTAGGCTTGCTTAATTACTTATTTTAATAGAAATAATTCATCATGAAATTAAATTCCAAGAATATCAAACCATCAAACTCACAGAATTCAAAAAGATATACACGTAACATTCACATCAAATCGTCATATAAAAACAAGTTGAATAAATGCGAATTGAGGCATGGCAACAGATGATTCAATAAATGTCAACAAATATCCAATTTAATACACAATATGCCTAAGACTTTAACTCAATAAATTTTGCACATATAAGCCCGTATACATACTCGTCACCTCGCGTACACGGTTTTTCACATTTCACAAATGACACATAAGACTCGATGCCTAAGGGGTAATTCCCCCACTCGAGGTTAAGCAAAACACTTACCTCGACTTGCTCCAATTTAATCAAGTAGTATGCCTTTTTCTCGATTATTTTTCAACTCCGATCGACTTGAATCTAGTTATAATTAATTCGATACAGTCAACAAACAAAAAAAAAATTTAGAATCAATTCCATAAGAAAATACTATATTTTTCAATAAAAACCGAAATTAACTCAAAATTTTGTCCGCGGGACCCACGTCTCGGAATCCGGCAAAGGTTACGAAATACGAACACGCATTCACTCACGAGTTCAACCATACTAAAATCATCAAAATCCGATACCATTTCGTCCCTCAAATCGTGATTTTTCATTTTTAAAATTTTCTTTAAAAATCACCATTTTCTTCAACTCAAAACACAAATTAAATGATAAAATGAAGATAAAATCATGGAATATATTAAATACTAGGTGAAGAACACTTACCCAATCGAATTGCTTGAAAAATCCACAAAGGATCGCTCAAAACCGAGCTCTACAAGTCAAAATATGGTGAAAATGGCCTAACCCTCGATTTGGAAAACTTATATTCTGCCGAGATGACTATGCATCGAGATCGCGGAGATTGAGTCGTGATCGAGATCGCGGAGAAGAAAATTGAGGCTGCCAAGAAAGACCCTTCGCGATTGCGAGTGGAGGGACGCGAACGCGATGAACAGTGGGCAGGAGCTTACGCGAACGCGGGGCAAATGATGCGAACGCGAAGAAGAAATAGCCAACAACGCGGACGTGAGGGAACTGATGTGAACGCGAAGTAGAAGAAAGCAGACCTTCACGATCGCATGAGGTACTATGCGAACGCGATGAAGAAAAATGGGGCAGATCAACAGAACACTACGCGATCGTGAAAGAGAGCACTAGACACCAGAAACCAGCAATCTAAAATTAGAAGAAATTGGCACGAGTCCCATCCGAAACACACCCGAGGCCCTCGGGACCCCATCTAAACATACAAACAAGTTCCATAACCTAACATGGACTTGCTCTAGGTCTCAAATCACATCGAACAACGCCGAAAATAAGAATCGCACTATGAATCGAACTTAAGAACTTTCAAATTTTCCAACTTCGAAAACTCGTGCCGGAACCTATCAAACCAACCCGGAATGATGTCAAATTTTGCAGGCAAGTCCCAAATAACATAACGAAGCTGTTCCAACTCTCGGAATAGCATTCCGACCCCGATATCAAAAAAGTCCACTTCCGGTCCAAATCTCCAAAAATATTAACTTTTGCCATTTCAAGCCTAAATCAGCTACAAACCTCCAATTCACAGTCCGGGCACGCTTCTAAGTTCAAAATCACCCAACGGAGCTAACAGAACTGACAGAATTCCATTCCGGAGTCGTCTTCACATAATTCCGACTACGGTCAAAATCCTAAGACTTAAGCTTTCATTTTAGGGACTAAGTGTCCCAAATCACTCTGAATCATTCGGTAACTGAATTCAACCACGCACGCAAGTTAATACACATAATACGAAGCTGCTCAGGGCCTTATGCCCCCAAACGGGACTTAAATTCTTGAAATGACAAGTCGAGTCGTTACAATACTAGATAAGAATCATAGTAAAAAGGTTATTTTTGTATGCTTGCAATAGGACCAGATTCTCTCTATAAAGTCAATGTATTTTTTACAAATGAATATCTCATGCCCCTATCTTTGTGTCTCTTTCTATTTTTAGGGAATATATTTCTACAAACTCTAATAGTACAAGTGTAGAGAATATCCACTAAAATATTAACTTTAGTGTCCTATCTTGAAACTAGCTGTTATAACTCTGTCAAGGATG